ACCTCAAGGGATGAAGAGGACAGGGAAATTTGACGTTTGACATCTGAGCTCAGTGCGTCAACGGTCACATTCTTGCCAAGTTTCAGCTCTCCATGTGTCTCCGTTTGAAGCAAATAAAACTATTTGAAAATATGTTCCCCGAAATGTGTGCCCCTATGGCATGCATCACCAAATTAGAACTTTTCCAGAACTCCGCATGCGAATAGCTACTTACGTCAGTCAGTCAGCTACGTCCACATATAAAGCTACTCACGATCGTCAATATATAATATGCTAAGGTCGCGCCTTCGGCGCTCTATTACCTTGGATTGTGATTAATTCATCCATTTTTTGCGAAATGGGAAACACGTATTTTAAGTACGTCCCCATTGAAATACATGACATATGGGGTTGAAAGTCTTGATTTATATCAAAATCATTGCCTCTACAATTCTATGTGTGCTTAACTTGAAATCTTTTATTGTGTCCCTTTTTTAAGGGTGGAGAATACATTTTGAAATACTTCCCTCTAATAGTCCACGCTAAATAGTCATATTTCAAAATTAGGATTTTTCCTCTACTCAGCTGTCAAACAGGTACTTCTGAGGGAAGTTTAAATTTTCAGTCTCTGTTTCGTTGGATCCAAAAAAAAAATCAGGAAAATGGGACTGAAAAAAGTGCCCAAATAGGTTTTAACGAAATATTTTTTTCTTTTGAACTGTAGACTCCGGGAATTCCATGCCGCCCAGTTTCAGCCTTATACGTTTCCCCTTTTTGCTGCAGGGAAAAATGTATTTGGAAAAGAGACCCACCCAGAAGCCGTGCTCTGAGGAGACGCACAGGAAAAGTTGAAATTTTCCTTAAATCAACATCACGTCAGTGATGCGTGCGCCCGCTACATTTCGATGTCTCCCAAGTGAACTTCATGCCCACAAAGTTTCAATATTATACGTTTGCCCTCTTCGCTGGTGAAAAAACATGCTTGGAAAAGCCGACCCACCCAAAAGCTATGCGGAGGGGATGCACTAAATAGCTGAATACTCCCTCAACACATCATGTCACTTATACATGGGCCAAGTTTCACCCTTCCATTTCTGTCCAATTCACCACAACGTTTTTTTTCGAAACATCGCCTCTCGAAAAAATTCCCACAGGAGATGTATCGAGACTTAACATTTTTATTTAACGCTTTGTCTCAGTAGTCACGTTCATGCAAAGTGTCAGCTTTCCATGTTCATCAGGTTGATGCAAAAAAATTAGTTGAAAACATCTCCTTTTGAAATTTGTGTCCCCAGGGCATTTACTTCCAAAGTCTGAAGTTTTCTGCATCATACCAATAGGTAGTTATGTACCAAGTTTCATCTTTCTACACTAGCTCAATACGCCAGGACAAAAAAAAAATACTTGACAACGTCGGCCCCAAAAATATCCCCCAGGACATTGACATAAAATTTTGCATTTTTTTAAACTCATCGTCTCTGTCGGTACCTCCTTGCCAGGTTTCAGCTTTCCATGTCTCTGTTTTACTGAAGCAAAAACGATGTTATAGAGGGTGAATGCGTAACGGGACATGGAAGGCGAAAGAGGGCCAAAAGGAAACCAAGGAATGGACAGGAATTGAACCCGGACCTCTGATTGCTACTACTGCCCCACCAAACCCAGGACATCCAGTCGGTTCTCTGAATGCCATCCTCATTTGTCACAAAATATATTCAAGAAAAACGTTTCCCCCAAAAATTTGAACCCCCAGGGCATGCACCTCCATGTCGGATTTTTTCTGAACTCTGCATCCCAAAAGGTACATGTTTACCATGTTTCAGATTTCTAACCTTTCTAGAACATGGTCAGAATTAGCGTCAGTCACGATCGTCTATATATTGTTACGGAGGGAAAGTGGGAGACGGACGGCATTAGAGGTCGAAAGAAGCCAAAGAACGGCTGGGAATTGAACCCGGGTCTCTTGATTGGCAGTCAGGTGTGCTACCACTGGGCCACCGAACCCAGGACATTCCGTCGACCCTCTCGATGCCATCCTCATCCGTCACAATATATTAGATGAAAGAACGTGCGATTGATCGTCTCGTGACCTGTCCCGAATTAGGTTTCTTTGACCGTATCAGAAACGCCGAAATACGTCATTCCATGAGCCTAAAATTTCAAGGTAATTCAGAAATTATATTTTCTTTTCGGTGAGGATTTACATGCGGAACAGGCGAGGTAAATGAAATCATCAGGACAAAGGGATGAGAAGGAAGGAATTGTTTCGCCAACGGACTCATAATCGTGCAAAGGGGGAGGTGGGAAAGGAAGCCGGAAGTAGGGGAGATGGATATCTGCATGGGAGGGGTGTGTGTCTTCTCTGCGTGGGAAGGGGGTGTGTCAAGGTCGACCAGTGCATGGAAGGAGGAAAGGGAGGGTATAAATGCTGTTCCAAGCAGAAATCCAAAGTAGTTCCGACTTGGTCACACATCATCACCACCATCCGTCGACCTCATCACGATCGAAGGGTATGTGCTTCACTTTGTTCATTGTGGTTTTTGGATATATGTTTCGGATGTGAGGTATTGTGGTGAATTTCCGAAGTTTAAAATTGCACAGTGGTTTTAAATTAAGTTGCATGGAAGACGGGAGGTGACAAGAATTTCGTGCGAATTTCGTGAGGACCTTTCAAGGAGGAGGGACGGCGACCTGAGGACTCCGTTGCAGGAGCCATCTCTGGAGGGTATGGCGGACCCAGAGATTCCTATCTCCCGCAGGCGGATTCTCCCGGAGGATTCGGGGTAATATTCATATTTATTTAACCTCCGTTTCAAGATAGCCCTGCGCTCGCCTATCGCGAGTGTTAGATTCATTTCATGTGGGACGTCTCGTTCGCGGAAAAGTGGTCAAATTGGGGAAAGTCGGCGGAGATGAGGGTGAGGTGTGAATCATAGTCGTTGGGTCCGAATTCCCAGGAATGGGGAGACAAATTACCAGGAATGGGGGAATCTTCATCTTGCCTGCAGTGAGTGAGAACTTTCCTCTCGCTCTTTGCAGTGAGACGTCACGGGATTCAGATAGCCTTGCATGGTATGAGGTGTCAAAGGAAAAGGGAGAGGAGGATTCTGCGGATTCATTCCTTCATCCTGCTGTCGAGCTGGTAAAATACAGTATACAGGGTGTTCCAAAAGAAACTACCCACTGTATAACTCAGAAAGTAATAGGCGTAGACCAAATAATATGACAGACCAGAAATTTCTCTTTACGATGGTGTAATGAAGTTCACTCAAAACAGTTCCGTTTGAATGCCGCCAACTTCTAGACATCTCGGCACAGTTTTGTGTGATGTGTGGGGGGTGCCGTAATCCCCGATCTGATTCCCCAGTCTTCCCTTGCTCCACACGTGGTCACGGATGTCACGTGTTTGCACTGCTCGACTCACTTGGGGAATTCTGTGTCTCAATCGACTAGTCATTTTCTTTTCTACTGCCTCACTGCAGGAAACGTTCTCTTGGTAGGAGTTACGAAATCTGTCAACTTATTACAACTAGCATATCCTAAAAGAACTAAAACGGAACTTGAATGCATGCCATTAAAGGGAAAATTTTCAAATTTGCGTCGATGTCGTCGCTGGCGAGGACGAACACGACCCTGGGGAACATGAGCCCGAAGAGGTTCATCGCCCGTCGGAAGTAGTCGGGAGATAAGGGTTCCGCCCCGAATTTATCGTGGTAGGCTTTCGTCTGATCCCTGAATTCAATCTAGTGAAACAAAGTTCATACTAACACAATAATATCGATCGATTTCTATCGAAATCATTTGGAGACGAAAATAGGAGAAATTGGTCATTTCAAGTGATAGCGTTCTTCAACCCATTTCCCTGTCCTCTTCATCCCTTCAGGTTAAACCCCTCCAGATTCCCCAGTACCAACAATCCGTAACGTTGTCAGTTTCTATGCTTAATTTCGTTAGATTCAGGATAATTAGAGGTGCGGCATCGTGAGCTCTCTCCCGGACTAGATGCGCCTTGGATGGTGAACGAATGAGGCATTCGATGCTGAGCGATCCTCAAATTTCGGGATGGCAGTTGGTGTTGTGGGGAGAGTTAGTTTAGGAAATTATCGATGTCTCATCAATTTATGGATCTGCAGATCCTTCGACTAGGTGGATGTCCACGCTGATCGTGTTATCAGAAGGCAGATTCTCCGGTCGGAAAAAGTGGGAAGAGCGATGGCCGCGAATTCCTTGTCGCACAGTTTGATGCCGGGGTTCTTCCAATCCATCAGTGGACAGCCGGTCTCATTCAAGAAGTTTAGACTGGTATGGGAATAGCGGGAGGCGCTGGTTAAGCGGATCGTTCATGGCCACGGGGATTTTCCCGTGTCTTCGCCCTCATGAGAAGAGGGGGGCGTACTCCCCGATCCGATTCCCCAGTCTTCCCTTGCTCCACACGTGGTCACGGATGTCACATGTTAGCTCTGCTCGACTCACTTGGGGAAGTCTTTGTCTCAATCGACTAGTCATTTCTTTTCTACTGCCTCACTGCAGGAAACGTTCTCTTGGTGGGAGTTACGAAATAAGTCAACTTATTGCATTATAAAAGAACAAAAACTGAACTTGAATGCATGCCACTAAAGGGAGAACTTTCAAATTAACGTAAAAGATGAAATGCAACATTTATATATAAAATTAGGACAAAATGTTTTCAAATTTTGTAAGTTTTCACAGTGTAATTACCTAGATTTAAGGACACCAAGTCATCGAATCAAAGATGCTGCACTCTGATAATTAATTTCATTTTCTAGCAAAGAAAGTAGTGGAATCAGTTATTCACGAAAATCCAATTTTCCAGGTGAGATACCATGAAATCTGTAGGAAGGACTTTTTCAGATAAGACCCTTGGGGCGATTGCAAAACCCCCTGCGAAATAGGCGGAAAAGAAACTGAAGGACCCGTAGGAAGTGATGCTGTGATTGCAATGACATAGCAAAGCGAAGTCGAAATCCCGGCCCCTGCCCTCCACGAACACGATCGGCAGTTTCTTACTGAAGCTCCTCACGTTTCGCTTGCACCATCCGATGTCGTCGCTGGCGAGAACGAACACGACCCTGGGGAACAATCGGCAGGTTCTTACTGAAGCTCCTCACGTTTCGCTTGCACCATCCGATGTCGTCGCTGGCGAGAACGAACACGACCCTGGGGAACATGAGCCCGAAGAGGTTCATCGCCCGTCGGAAGTACTCGGGCGACAGGGGATCCGCCCCGAATTTATCGTGGTAGGCCTTCGTCTGATCGGTGAGACGGACGTGGATCCCGACGTAGGTCAGATTTCGTCCGTACTGGATGGAGACGGCCGTTAGAAAGCTTTGCACTTGTTTCACCAGCAACGAGTTGAACGTAAAATCCGGAATCCAATCGTCTCTATATTGGTGGAAAAGTGCAAAATCGATCGGGTAAGCGTAGAGGCAGACGTCCCTCTTCTCGACGAATTCCGTCTGGTTCCAGGGCTTCATGACCTGGCCGTAAGCGTCGATTCCGGCGTAGGACCAACGCCGTGCGAGGCACCCGGTCTCGTTAAACGACGCGAGACGGAGCTGTGGGAAGAGCGGGCGGAGTTCCTCCAGGAGGTCGCCGATGACCACGGGGATCTTCCGGTATCGTCGCCCGTAGGAGAAGAGAGTAATGTACTCGCCGATCCGATTCCCCAGTCTTCCGTTGCTCGCGGTGGTCACAAAGGTCACGTTTCGGCACTGCTCGGCCGTCAGGGGGAATTTCGGCCAGAAGTGATTGGATACAATCTTCCTTTCTGGCTTCCGTGTCGTGGTGAGGTTAGGGGCTTTGGAGGAGGGATAAAGTGAAGGGTCGGTTTGCATTTCGTGCATGTTTTGGGC